CCTGAATTGTTTGGGCAGTTCGCTGACGGTGCACGGGGGACCTCGGAAACGCTTAGGGCCCAGACACTGCACTGGGGAAGCCCGCTGGCTGAAGATGGGGTCGGTAATAAACGTGACGTCATCCATTTCTACCAACACCGAGGCATGTCCAAGCCAAGTTACGCGTATACCATCTCCGGTCTTTCCAAACAATTCAGGGTTTTGGACAAAATAAGGTGTCAACACTGGGAGGTTTGTGTCAAGGATCTAGCAACAGAAAAACAGAAAATACAAAGTCAGAAAACATGTCCTATTTCCAAAGGACAAATATTATACGTCTTCAATCAATCAGAATAGAGCTGGAAGGACCTTGGAGGTCTTCTAGTCCAACCCCTTGCTCAAGCAAGAGACATTATTCCAGGGCTGTCAAACTCCCGGCCCGCATGCGTCACGCGCTGGGCATTCCCATGCTTCAATACACAGATAAAGCAGCAGAACCATCTTCTAGAAGAAGGGAAATTCTGGTTACAAACCTCCACTGCCTTCTGGCTCTATCCACTACTGGAAAAGGCTTCGGGAGTCAACCTCCAGGTAAAATCCGGAGCCGGAGTCCCGGAAGGAATTTGTGACTGTGTACAACCACGTTCTAGTAACTCCTGCGACGCAGCTGGAACCAATCGTATCGGCTATGCCGTTCCATTGGACTATTTTAGCGACATGGAGAGGGGGGTTCTACTGCTTGGGTAACAGTCTATCCTCCCTATTAATCTACCCAGGCCCCGTGCTAGAGAGGACACTCCAGCTTTGACTTCTTCCCAGAGCACGATACCATCGTCTTTTGAGACTGATGGATGCCAACGCAATGCAATGTATAGGTCAGCCTCTCCTACATCCTGATGTCTTTTGAGCTCTGAGCAGACCTCCCGGGAGCGTACACGTTGCAGTATGGATAGGTCAGGCCATGAACGAAGATTCTTATGGCTGGTGTTGCTTTTGGTGAGTGAACTTATTGTATATATGAATTTTCCGTTTGCTGGGCTCTTTTTTGCAAACGACTCTGCAGAAGCGTGACGCCACCGCCGCTATTCTTGAAAATAGGGGCATCGCGGGAATTGCCGATGATTTCATCGGGGAAGATGGCTGATGCCTGAAAGTATGAGCATGATAGTGTAGAATAATCATATCCAAGGACCAGTGGTGGGTTTCAAAAATTTTTGGA